GGAGGCCGTCCAGCCGGCTGGGCTCGCCGCCTGGTTTTACTACCGTCGGGCTCCTCGACCTCTGGCAGCTCCTGCGAGTCCTTCGTGTCCTCGTTTGCCCGTGTGCTAACCAAAAAGAGAGGTGACCTTTTTCACAGGTGAGAAACGTGGCCTGAAATCTCCCCCTCCGTGCAAAGCTCTGCGAGTGGGACACAACTCGACTGTTTTTTTCAGTGTGTTTAATGCAGACGCCTGATATTTTTTTTTCTCTGGGGATACTGAAGAAAGTTGCTTTCCTGATGGATCCTGAGATCCTCAGGCATCTCCAAACATGCATGTCTAGCGTGGAATGAAGGAGCAGGGGAGAGCAGAGCCTACGTGAGCATATATATCCCTATAACATATATAAAATGTGTCCTGCCACGGCACCGTGATGGATACAAGCCCTGGCTTCGCGCGTGGAATGGAAGCGGGAATCTGCTCACGATGCAACAGGATCATCTTTTCATCCCAAATTGTGGACGCTCAGAAATAAGACATTTACCAAAGCAGAACCTCGCCCAGGCAGCAAAGTACAGGCGGATTCACATCAGATAACACTGCGTTTGTTTTCAGCTTCACGTCCTTTCATCAGAAAGATGCAAATTTGTCACAAGGCTACCTATTTCGCAGGAAAGGTTAGTGTTCGCCAGCCTGCTCATTTTGAAAGAGCAAAAGGGATTTAAATTGCTGAAAGTCCTACTTGGTACTTTCTAATATTTTCCAAATTTTTGAAACTGCTCTTCATTTAGAAACAAAACGCTTGAAGAAAACTGAAAAGGTTAAAGCTGAAATGAGGCATTTGGAGTACCTGGAACAAACAGAGCGACCAGATTTGGCTCTTATCCTCCCCCAGAAAAACGTTCAATGGGAACCTGCTACCTGAGGCAGGTGAGGCCACAGAGAGGCCACCCAAGCTCCTGGGACCCAGGGCACCTCCTTAAGCAGCTGCAGAAATCCCAGCCAAGCGGATACCTATTTTTCACTTAACCCAACTAAAAAACTTAATAGTTTCTTCAAGTTTGCACCCCTCCAGCTCTCAGTTTTGCCAAGGCTCCGGAGCGGTGGGTGCCTCTCCGTAGGGCGGCCGTCTGGCTCGCGCGCTCGGAGCGGCGAGGGGGGCTATTTTATTAGCCGGTAAAGCTGATTGATTTATTGGAGCAGAAATCTCCTGCTAGCTGCAGCCCGGGTTATTCTCCAAATGCAAACTCTATTTCATTTCGCACACGCCGAATAGCCCAAGTGCCTGTGTTATGAATAGGCCCCTTTGTTACCCTGCGAATCGACAAGACAGACTGTTTAGTTCATGTCTGTACATTAGCGAAGGAGGACGGGGTCTGGGAGACAGATGTGGCCTTTAATTGCATGGAAATATTAGAAGATCGTTAAGCCGCTTTTCGACGGGGTTTTCCTCTTAGCCAGGGCGCGGAGCGTTGTCCCGGGGAAGGCCTCTCCGTCCAGCAGCATTTCCCTAGGAAAAGGAGCCTCCGCTCGGCCTCTTGGCGCCGGAGACACCAGGTACCGAGTTGTGATTTGGAACCACAGCGGCTTATCCAAGAGGCAGGAATCCCTGAGGCCTGCCAGGCCCTTGCCCGGCCTCTCAGATTAAAACGTGAAGAACTTCATAAAGAAATGAGCTCAAGTGAAAAGTCCCAGGGAACTTCCAGCGGCGCAAGCTGGGTTTTCCTGTACGAATATCTCCATTGACAAAGAGAACATCCGCGCGGAATCCCGCTGTTTTCCTTGGAGCGCCGCGAGCGGAGAAACCCCCGAATCTCTGCTTTTCCTCCAGGCATGTGCGCAACAGGCTCGTCCCAAGGGAGGGAAAACACAGGCCCACAGCATCCCTGGCAGCTCCCCTGCTGGGATGGGACACTGGGAAATGGATAAGGAGCCCTGGGACGGGGACACCGCTCCGGGTGTTACCGACTGCTCCTCGTGGGCCGGTCTCTCCGTAAGGTTTGAGCCCGGCTTTCCACATTCCATAGGCAGGCGGAGTTCAGCAGCGCTCGGGATTTCCACCCCTCTTCCCGGGGAGAAGTCCACGCCGCGCGCTCTCCTGGAGGCTCCGCTCTGCTTCTTTCATGCTGTTGTTTTTCCTTAGTCTGGAATAAGTCATCTCGGGCTGAAAGTGCATGTTTTGTTCTCTGCGGATGGAAACATAACAGCACCCGGTGAACGTTTCCTGATGGGCTTCCTGCGATTGTGAAGGGAATGGGGTCGCAGACCAAAACAGGATACGATCGCGGGCTCTGCGAACGCGACGGGGACAATGGGATCATGGCAAAATCAAGAAGGGACCCGGGATCCTCGTGTCTCCCTGCACTGCTCCCAAAACCTTGGGAGAAGGTTTGCCACGTTGCCAACACTTCGGCAGGGAGAACCTAGGCTGGAAAGACAGGATTTTGTGGGCTTTGTCAGCAAGCCAGGCTCCGAAACCGTCTTGCCGCTTCCCTCCATGTGTCTTCAGCAGAGCAGACCATAAAAGCGCTACAATAATATTTACCCAAGTGTGTATGTTCACAGTTACATCCATGTGGCTCTGTTTACGAACGCGGCCGCTCGGGGCAAGGCAGGCAGCTATTTCACAAGGAAAAATACATTGGAAGGGAAGGTGAACCAAAGTGAGCACAATATAAGTGGCTGCCCGCGCTGCGTCAAGGTATTTTTAATGAAAATGGGCAGTTTTGGAGCAGGAAAGCTGTGGGCAGTGATTTGTGGTGCCATAAGTGGGGCAAACCGGCCAAGGACGGTGTTAAAGGCTGCCTGGTTACCTGTAAAGGTAATCTGGGTTGAAACCCATGCTGGTTGCTTCCTGCATGGGAAGCCTTTGGTGAGTGCCATTAAACCTGGCCTAAGGGATGCTCAAGGTCCCTTATTTCCATCTTGAGATCCAAATAATATGCCCTGAGTTTTAGCAGTCTCCCTCGCATCTGTCTGTCCTGACATCCCATTGAAACGTAGTGAATTTAAAAATACCCAGAAAACTTCCGCCGGAGAAATTCTGCAAAATCATCTTGCCCCAATTTTGAGCGCGACACCCTGTTTCAGCGTATTTCTGCTATTTCTGCCTATCTCCTTCCTGCTTCGTTTCCTCCTAGGATGAGTTACCACGTTACGGTTTCGCGCCTATCCGAATACGAACGCGAAGACACGAGGCTGCAAGCGGGAAAAAAAGGCAATGCCAGGGAAAAGCCTTGCTGAAAGGGAGGCCAAAGACCGAGGGAGAGAGAGGAGAGTAACACTCTGCCTTCCTGCCTCTCATTTTGGGTGCCATCCATCAGGTTTTGCTGCACACGGGCTCCTTTCCTCTTTGAATTTGACTCACTTTCTTGTAAATGCGATGCTATCTGCCCGGTGCTCGTATGAGACGTTGGAAGGAGAAGTGCTGACTCGTAAAGCCCAGGGAATAGACCGTCCACATTAGCCTCGAGCCCTGCATAGCTGGTGCTGGGGCTGCCAAGGTTTTGGTGCTCTGCATCCCACAACCAGGTTCTGGTGAGTTATAGTCACAATCTCCTTAAAAAAAAATACCTGGAGTGATTTTCCCCAGGAAAAAAATCAATATAAGAAGCAAGGAGGAGCAGAAAACTACCAGTTCTCTAGAGAAGGAAGTGATCTTTCCATGCATGGCAGGAGGGTTCAAGTACTCAGCGTTTTTTTCTCCTTTCTCTCTCGTATGAAGTCAGCCTTTGTGGAGGAGGGTGAATCTTTGATCTTTAGCAATGCCTTTTAAATGTGGTTACGGCCAGAAAAGTGAATGCAGAGAGCTCGGGGTGAATATTCGGCGTTCCGGGCACCTGGAAAGGGCTCCAAGCTGGGCTGGAAACACCTGTTGCTGCCGCCTCGCCAGCTCCTGCTTCCATGGCCCTCCTCAGCGAGCCCAAAGGATCTGCAGAAGGAGCCGCATGGCTCCGTCCAGCCCCCCGGGCCTTGGATTTCCCCCCAAAATCAGCCCTCATGCAGGGAAGCTCCCGCTTTCTGCCCAGGGATGGAGCCGAGACGCAGGGCTTCGCTCACACCCGCTGTTACTTCCAAGCAGGTTATTTCCAAGCTGGGAGGGAGTCCCAGATTCGCCCAGTAGGCTCTAAGTGTGGACATTTTTTATGACGATGTCATGGGCCTGAAAATAGCCGCTTTTCGCTTAGAAATGTGCAGCTGCTGCAATCCCCTGACTACGAGAGACTCCAACTTTGCAGAATTACTTCTCTTCTTTCCCGGCTTGAGCAAAAAGTTTGCAGGCCCCAGACAACTACGTGCTGCTGTGGGGGCGCAGGGCAAACAAATTAGGAATTTATTATTTCTGAGAGCTCGGGACTGCGTCTTGTGAATGTGGAACAGGACTGCTCCAAATGTGGCAACCACCAGAAATGCTCCCTGCAGAATCACTAGCCACTCGCTGCTGTACCCAGACATAGACCAGGCCCCAAACCTTTCTGAGCCTAGAGGTTTATTATTTAGAAAATCGAAGCGCGTCGGTGCAAGCAAATTGATAGTCCAAACTTTGTGTCCACATTTGGCATTTTGGCAGGGCAAAAAGGGGGATAACAATTTCCTGTTTTGAAGCATTCCTAGAAATGCACGGCGTGGTAACTCGCCAGGCCTGTATTGCCCACAAAACAAACAGAAAGTGTCAAGCAATGCATATTTTCCTGCAGCACTACCAGCCAGAGCCGCGAGCTGCACCGCTTCCCTCAAAATCTAACCACGGCGGAAAACCCTTTGAGGGGAGGTATATGGGATCAGGCGCCTTGGAATGCCGCTCCAGGGGTGTTACCCTCCATCTCCTTGGGTATTTTGGGTGCCCAGCAGTGGGCAGGTATTTATTGTAGTGTATAACCTCGCACATGAAGACACTTCTCCAAGGAGAACAACAGGGAGCTCTGGTTCTCTGCACCAGGGCCCCGCAGCCGCCCGCGGGTTTTGCTTAGGGGCTGGCGGCCCCCGGTGCCGCCCGCGAGCGCTCGCGTTTGTCCCCGCAGGAGGCCCTGTCGGTGGTGAGCGACGACCAGTCCCTGTTCGACTCGGCGTACGGCGCCGCCGCCGCGCACCTCGCCAAGGCGGACATGACGGCCTCGGGGAACCCCGACTACGGGCAGCCGCACAAGATCAACCCCCTGCCGCCGCAGCAGGAGTGGATCAACCAGCCGGTGCGGGTCAACGTGAAGCGGGAGTACGACCACATGAACGGCTCCAGGTAAGGAGCGGGCAGCTCGCCCTGCGCCGCACCTCAAGGAAAAGCCAAGTGTCTGTCACCCCGTTGTCCTCCATGCCACCAAAGCACCCCGTTGGGCAGTATCCCGCTCCCCCTGCAGCCAAGGGCTCCTTTCTCCCTCCAGTTCCCTCCAGCTCTGCTGCATCCCTGCGAGTCTCCAGGACTGTTGCCCGCACCGGGAAGGGGGTTCACGCTGCAGCTGTGGGGACAAGGTCCCCGGCTCATCGCTGGCTCCAGCATCCCACAAACGTGCCACAAATGCTGCTGAAGACACATTTATCTGTGCAATAACAGTCAATACTCATAACCTACCAGTGGGCAGAGCGTTGCCTCACTGGCAAGCCAGAATATTTACATATCAAACCTTCACATTAGCTCAGTTTTAAATCATTGCAATAATTACTTCATTTCTAAACAGAAGGATTTAGAGTCCGTATTTGTTTTAAATTTAATTTTAACTTCAAAGTCACAAACAGAACCCTTACATTTATAAAATACTCATACGGGCAATTGGAAACATAAAGTATTAAAGGAGAAATGAATTGAAACAGAGCCTTGCTAATGAACGGAACATTTAAACAACTCCCCTTTCTTAAAACATTGCATTTAGGTGTTTCCAAGCAGTTGCAATTCCAATCTTGGGTGGTTTATGTTTAAGGATAGGCCGTTTGGATAGTGGCTTTGCATTATGGACGAAACACTCTATGAGCCTTTGAAATCCCTCCTGATTGACGTTATGTTGTACAGAAAACATGGCTGACACCTAGGAGCATCTATGGTGAGATCTTCTTGCTTTTCTGATTATAAAAAAATACACAAATTTAACCTCTGTAGGGTCTAACATTTCGAAAACCCTGAAAGGAAAATCAGCCAACACTTAATACGATCATTAGACTAAAGCTGAAGTTGGGGTTTAGTCGTGAGCGCTGCTCATGATTCCTCTGGGCCCTGCTCAGTGTCAGACCGTTTTGCATGAGTAAACAGAAGGGGGGCGATTTTCAACTTCAGTTTTCGGAGACTAAACAACCATATAAACGGCTTGTGCCCAATTTGACTGTGTCGAAGCCCATGTAAAAAACCAGGCCCAGCTAAACGTGCTCAGCAGTCGGCCCTCCTTCCCTTGCCCTGCATCTTTACAGGGGGTACCTTGGGGGAGTTTTTGCTTCTTGAAACCTATTCTCTGGGTTTCTGAGAACTTTGCAAGGCGCAGTTTGAAACAGAAAGCAGCCCCACGGCTTGTAGCCTTCTCTAAAGAGAGGATGCTGCTGAAGGTTTCAAACAGCAGCGTGCCTTTTCCTCGTAAGTATACAGTAGATTTTACTGTAAGATAAAAGCCTTTGCGTCAGTGGCTCTTCGCTGCTGATGATTCACAGGCGGAGTTTGCTCTTGCCCTGCTTGTGCCTCGCTGTCATTTCTGGACTTGGGAAGATTTCGGGATTGTTTTCGCGGCTGTTTCCAAGCAGGGCCGTGTGAGCGGCAACCTCAGGCTCCAAAGCCACTAACCTGAAGGCAGTAACAACCCCCTGCTCTCACTCTCCCTCTTCCTCTCTTGTTTTCCAAGCACGGCCTCCCAGCTGCCTCCTCGGAGGGGGCAGATTTATTCTGGGCTTCACGTGCGCCCAAAGCCTTTTCTGCCCATCACGAGCCACGCTCGGAGCCTTGGGATGGGAAGGGACGGTGCCCCCTTCCCTTCCCTTCCTTGGCAAGCAGGGGCAGCTCCGGCGCAGCGTCACGAGTTGCCTCCGGCCTCAGCCTGCTTCATGGCCAAACATTGCAAACATTTTTATACCATCATCGTTTTGCCCGGGTAAAACAAAGGGAGAAGCAATGATGTCTGCGAGAAGAAAAATGCCCTTTGAGCAGCATGTGAGCCCTCTAGTGGGATTCCCTGCTCTAGGCACCGGCTGTGTTACCTGCCTTGGCCCTTGCTGAACCTCTGGATTGGAAAGCTCACCATGAAACGGGTCAAAAGGGTCCTCTACAAGGAAGCGAGATGCTTAAAAATGATGGGAAGAGAGGAGGGATAGAAGGCTAGGAAGAAAAGGGTGGAAAAGAGGAGGGAATCGCCCACTGAGCACAGCTGAGTCAGGTCGGACATCGCTGTAATCCCTTATTTTGCCCTTTCGAATGAAAGCCAAAGGCAATTCCTAGACAGAGGCCCTGGGACAGTAATGGCTTTATTTCCAGGTACCTGGAGCCCAGGACGGAGCTATTTGGAGGATTTATTAGGCCATGCCAGGGAGCTGCTTGTCCGCATTGGCCAGTCTAGCAGCAGCTTTCCCAAAACACCAGGCTCTTGGCATCCCAGAGGCTGCTCCGGGAGCTGCTGGAACGAAGAGCCTTTGGGCAGGCAGAGGGAACAAGTAGAGCTTCGTGCTCCTTGTGCTCTGCCACAGTGAAGAAACTGAAGAGACCTTGTGAAAGCAGCCTATATCCAGTTACTTTTGGGGCTCTGCAGCCTTTTCTGTCCCAAACACGAGCAATTCCAGCCTTTCCAAAGCCCAAAGTAGGGGGTCTCCGTGAATACTCATGATTTGGCATCTGAAGTGCTGTCACACAAATCATTTCAAATAATGAGGGAATTTTTCTATAAATCCAAGTCTGCTGTGGGTAATGCATGAACGAAGGAAGGAGCTGTACGCGATGAATACGCTATTCATGGCACGCGGCGCCCCGTTCCCATTTGATCCTGTAGTTGTTCCTCATCCAGAATTCCTTGTGTGGCCCACAGCTCACCTATCTCCTGCTGGGATACTGTTAAATTCCTTTTCTGGGGGCAGGCTGGGCTTTGGCAGTACAGAAACGGACCCCCAGGAGCTGCAAAACTGACTCAATCACGTAGTGCTGTCTCATTTCCCAGGAAAAGGCCCCCTTTGGATCTGCTTGGAAACTGTGGCTTAGAGAGGACAAGAAAGCAAGGATCTTCCCATTTCATGGTATTTTTCTTAAGAGAAGGACAGTTTGGTCTCCAGCCCAATTAAGCATTGGTAATTCTACTCCCAGGAATGTTCCTCCTCCTCCTATCAGATTTCCACGGAGTTTAGCTCCGGACCCAGCCGTCCCAAAACGCCTTTTCAGGGGTCGGAGCGGAACGGAGCGCGGACGCCGCTCTTGCGAGCGCCGAGTCTTCTCGGGACACCCTCGGGGAAGAAGCAGCTCCTCGGTGCCCTCCTCTGCCCGCACGGGCAGCGTTTAGCACCTGACACGGAGAATTCCAGCGGCACGTTAGCAGGGAGCACATTCCCCACGGAAACGCCGGCGTCCCGGCAGCTGCTCCGGCTCTCCCCCGGCTGCCACGGGGACGTTCGACCTTCAGCAGTTTGCTTCTCCGAGGGCGGATTTTGGTTCCCTGCCTGGAAAAACAGTAGGCGAAATAGTAAAACCTTAAATTCGAACATGTGTAAGTTATACATCTTATTTCCATTTTCAAGCAACATTCCCTCAGCAAGACATGAGGAAAAAATTACCATCTGCCTCAGAGTATCTCGGCGGAGCATTTATCTCCCAGCCACGATAACTGAATTGCAGTAATTTCTCCCTCCCCCCTGTTCAGATTAAGAAGCAAATTTGTTTAGGGGCCAAACGTGGAGGTCTCGCCAGCGGGGTGGGACGTGGGGCAGTGTCACAGCTCTCACCCTTCGGGGAATGGGTTCCTCCCCGGCCACGTCGCTCCTGGCAGCCAAGAAGGATGGTTGTGTGATTAAAGCAGCGGCCTGAACTGTGCTGGATCCGGGCTCCGTGCTTGCTAACCAGTAGGCAGGTGGAAAACCTACGTGTTAGGTGCTCATATACACTGGCTTTCTATCTGGTTCTATCTGCCATTCTCCCTTTCTCAAGACCTGTGCTCTCCCACATATAAACTCCTCCGAACTTCCCTCCTCCGGGATGTTTATCCTTCCTCCGCTCCCATTCCTGTATCCCCAATCTCTTTCTGGCACAAAAGTGCCTAAAAGCAACAAGGCTGACGGATCATCTGTTTCCTTCCACCTTTTAGGGAGTCCCCCGTAGACTGTAGTGTGAACAAATGCAGCAAACTCGTCGGAGCAGGAACAGAGCCCAACCCCATGAGCTACAGCACCTACATGGATGAGAAGAACGGGCCTCCCCCCAACATGACCACCAACGAGAGGAGAGTCATTGTCCCAGCAGGTACCACTGGCATCAACCCTCTGTGCCTTATTTCCTTGTCTGTTGAACAGATAGGCCTTGCCTATCTGGTCTTTAAGGAATTCTTTTCCTTACAAACCATGTAAAAGGCAAGAAAAAGAATCAGAGTTTCTGGCTAATTTGAATTTCCTATATCTAAGCGTATGTTTTGACCTGGAATCTGAAGGAAAAGTGGATTAATGTCATTTTCCTTCCAAAAATTATGACAGGGGACCACTCCTGACCACTTCTCTGTCTATATTTGCTATTCATATCTGCAATCTGAAGTTGTCAGGATACGTCACGTGCATTGGACAGACAAGGATGAGAGCTGCTGTAAGAGGCAACCTGTGAAGTCTGAACCTGGAAAGAGAAGGAGTCTTTCCCTTGCAAAGCTTATAAACACCAGGGATAGAAGCAGTTTTAGCCCGGGAACTTTCCAGCAGAGGAAATATTATGAGGCAAGTCTTGGCCCAATTTCAGCACCAAAGCTGATTTCCAGGGGTGCAGCTTTTCACCCAAAGTGCTGAGGGTTGTGGCTGATTGGAGCAGACGAGCCGCTGGCAGCAAGAAATGTACTCGTGGAATCCAGCTCTGCTCTCTGATCGTGGCTTGACCACGAACAGATGACACTTCCCAAGCATTCGTTTGCTATTTGGGATGAAAGGGAAAAGCTTGAGCTGAACGGCGTGAAGGGAAGCCAATAAAAGATTGACAGTGAATCTCCAAGTGCCATTTAAGCCCTCGTTAGGATCTGCTTAGAGAGGCTGGCTAACCTAACTGGTGACAGGGTCAGGTATGTTTTCAGCATCAGCCTTGCCTAGAAAGGTGTTAGGTGATACCAGCTAGTCGTTAAAAACAAAGCTGAAGATACTCAAGGAGGAACATTTATCCTGCTCTTCACGTGCTATTTATGCAGCATATAAAACCTCTTTGAAGGAAAGTGAAAAAAGGGCTTTTCTCCTCGTGAGCACCCGCAAATCAAAACCTTGAGGTACTTGTGAAATAACAGCGATTTACCAGACTCTGGAAGACAATAATGAACAGCATCCCAGATCTCTGGCTGCAGGATATGAGGCCCAAATTATCCAAGAAAGGCATTTGGCAATTTTAATACAATCCAGAGTAAAGATTTATAGCACATTAGGGTGAAGATAGGCAAGAACAATGTCACATTAGGTTTGCAATAGTAATAATAATGAACTCTCTGCAATGTTTTAAGAAGGCAGTTTTTCAGAGATCATTCAGTGTCTTTTTCCAGTGATAAATAGGCTTGAAGGAAATCTGAAATTCAAAAATCATTGTTAAAAGGAGACCACAAGTTCATTTTGCCCTCTAAATGTTGCATTTCAGAAAACAAGGCAAATAACTCTCCCAATTAAACAAAAGAATCCTCCCTTGATACTTGCATTATAAAATTTGCGGCCTTTTGCCACTGCTTAGAATTTAAATTAACTAGTGCTGAATGTTAAAGGAAATTCATCTTTTCTGGAGCACCCTTGCAAACATATGACTGTGAGTTCCATGCTTAAAATTCAGCTTTTAGCAAGCCATGTTTATTAGAAAACGGTGAAATGTCATTATTATTTATCAGGCCCTGAGCTTGACTTCACAGTCCTGCCCGAACGCAACAGAACAGGAATTCGCCACTTCAATTTTCAAACGGGCTCCTCGGGGAGAAGGAGCACAGGAAACATCTGAGAATGCAGATACGCTCTGAAAAAAGGCCTCTCTAACAGTGGTGCAGATTCTTGCTGGCACTCTCTGACCTCACGCGCTTTTCAGAGCTCAAGGGTGCTTTCTTTTTTTAACCACTGATGCAGCAAACCATCAGCACGGGGTCCGAAGCTCCAGCCGGCTTCAATCTCTCCCTTACGTCATCGCCAGCCATAAAGATTCCACAGCTGGAGCTCTGCTGACAGTTGATAATGATGCATGAGACGGTCTCAAATCCACATCGCCCTCCCCTCGCTGGGCTGGTTTTACAGGGCCAGCAGAGGTAGAGTTGTGTTCTTGTCAGCAGGGTGAACAAATGTGACTCAGACCCATGGCGAGCTGTTCTGCTTAAGCAATATATTTTTTTCAGAGCCCCTTTGCTGACCATAAATACCGCCGTCCTCCAGCTTCCAAATGCCATCTGTTGGGATTTTGTAATGTGCTTGCGAAGGCCGGGGTGACTTACACAGCACTGATGTCATCGTGGAGCGGTGCAGAACTGAAGTGGTGACAAACAGACCCCTCTCAAAGGGATGAGTTAGTTTTTGGAAGGGAGAGAAGTCACATTTGGTGCTATCGAGGGTGCTCCTGAGCAGTAGGCGCAAGATTCAGGCAGGCAGGAGACTGTCAAGTGAACTCACCCTGCCAGGAAGTCAGTTGTACCCTTTTATAACACATTTCTTGCTCATGCTGTGAGCACTCATGCTATGGTTGGGCTTCCGCGGGCGCTACGGGCGTGAGGTTAACGTATAGCGCATCCTATGTGCTCCTTTGCCAGATCCCACCCTATGGACGCAGGAGCACGTGCGCCAGTGGCTGGATTGGGCTATAAAGGAGTATGGATTAATGGAGATCGACACCTCCCTCTTCCAGAACATGGATGGCAAGGAGCTCTGCAAAATGAACAAGGACGACTTCCTGCGAACAACCACCCTCTACAACACCGAAGTTCTGCTGTCTCACCTCAGTTACCTCAGGGAAAGTGAGTATCGCCCCGACACGGCCCGTTCCTGCAGCAGGACGCGCTGCCGTGAGCAAAAACTTGGTTACAAACATTATTTTTAAACTTAGGTGGGGCTAGTGGAGCTACAAGATATCAGGGAGGTGAAGAACTGAGCGGGACTCTTAAGATTAGACAGGCTGATAGATAATAAAAACATCTGTGGCTATGTGATAAAAACACATAGCGCTGCCGTGATGATTAAACCACATATTAACTGATGGGTCAGAGGGAAATTATTCCATAACCTAATTATTCCATCCATGAGTGGTTTCCCACACGTTCCCAAATGTTTTCATTCCATGCCTTCAGGCTTTGGAATAGTTAAGGTTTCAAGCGAACCCGTTTTGATTTGAGGACTGACAAATCAGGGGAAGGTGCCGTAGCACAAAGGAGGGGAGAGAAAGAAAAATATTTTTTCCACTGGGAAATCAAATCATGAAATAAAGCAGCTTCAGATGCCTCCAAATGACCGGTGCAATAAAGCAGCAAGACAGCATTTATTTAGGGTGGGTTTTTCAGAATTATTCAGCACGGGTCTCTCCCTCCGTCAGAATCAGTGGGAGTTTCACAGATTACAATGGGAGAAGAGTTAGATCACAGACGGGTGCCTCTGTAAGCCCCACCTTTATTTTGTTAGGGAAGCGGAGCCAAGGAAATGATTCACAACAAATAACTGAATTGCTGCATTTGAATCGCCCCGCTGGCAAAACTAGAAAGTTCACACAGAAAGAAGAAGTTTGCTGGGTTTTGAATCAATGAACGATGCTGAATTTGAGCAGGTTGATAGAAAAGTTGAACTTTTCTACTGCTTCGGCTCCAGACGCATCTCCAGGGTTAGTGTGAAGGGCTGGATTTCTCATGCCTTGGGGTATTTGAAGAGACTACCTCCTAACTGCAGTTGCAACTTCATCTGCTACTGCAATGCCTGCAAAATAATAATCCTAAAAATATAATGTGCTGCTCGGTGGGTGCTTCTTCCATGCTGTGAAGCAAAACCCGGGCAATTTTGTGGACTCAAGAAGTTACTTATTCCTCTTTAAGCGATGGGGAGGAGGTGATGGCAACAAAACACAGGAGACCTTTCAGGAACTAGAGGTCTATAGTTTAAAGAACATCTGCCCAGTCTCTCTTGTGTGAAGTGTTTAACATCTCAGGGTACAGAGCTGGGTTTGGGACATCCAGTGAATCCCAAACTTAGGTGCTTGTGAGCCAAGAAGGAAACAAAGCTGATGGGAATTCTGTGACCCCGTTTGCTGTACAGAGTCTATTTACTCTGCTCTATAGGCTCACCTGAGTCCAGACTGCAGCAAAGAAATAGGTACCATCTGCCAGGCTTCAACGAAAGCTCAGGCTGGGTTTTGGAGGTAGAAAGCTCAGGTGAGTTGTTGAATACGGATGAGACAAAGTCATCAGGCAACACTTTGGTGCAGCGCAGAGCTGTGCAGTTGTTTCCCATCAAAGTCAAGTCAGGAAGTCGGAAGTCTCTGATATTTGGGGATTTCAGAGCTGCCAGTGGGAAGGGAGGTTTTCCTGCTGTGTTTGGGAGGGATGTTAGAAGAAGCCTGAACTGTCACCTCCCAGGGTCGGTTGTACACGGTGCGTGCGAAGGAAAAGAGGCTGCAGGGCAAAGAATGAGACTGTGGTTAAAGGTAGGAGCACAAAACTGCCTTGTGGTTCCGACCTATATGTGACTGCCAAACCAAACTGCAGTGCTCGAGGGCCTGGAGCCTGGGTTCCACATGAGACACAGGGGGACGTGCAGCCACCCTCCCTAAGGGCAGGGGACGTAGGTTGCAAGACTGGGAAACCAAAATATTCCTGCATCTCTAAAGGATGGGCTGCCTGGTGAGGGGGGAGGCTCTACGGCCAAAGAACTCTCCTTGTCTGGTTTTCATTCTCTTGCCAGCTCCTTTTTTTTTTTTAAGAATACAAAAGAAATATAAGAAGAGAGGGAAAGATGGGGGAGCACCCTACATAACGTGTTTGGTATTAATTACTGGAGAATAACCTTGCGCTTAATTACCGATCCCAGTGTTTCCAGAAAGCGCCGATTTTATCTCCGCTCTCCCTGACCCCGTGGGGGGCAGCAGGGGGAATAAGAACAACAAGAAAATTCATCTCCGCCAGCGTTTTGCCCAAGAATGAGCAGAGCAAGGGAGGGAGCAGCCTGGCCTCCGTCTGTCTGCTTCCCTCTGTCCTGAGCTGTCTCGCTGGCTTGCTCTCTTTTCCTTCTTCATTGCAAACCCTTAATAGGAAACACATTTCCTTTTCTGTGGTGTTCCCACCAGAAACCTCAGACTGGCGGGCAAAGGTGAGAACTTTTAGCAATTAAACTGGGGGAGGCGCCATCCCTTTGCAGCGGCCCGGGCCGCATTTTTTCGCATCAAGTAGCTGTAGGTTGATCTTCCAGGCGTGTTCCCCTCGCCACCCTGCCCCCTTCTCCTTAGCCAGCCAGGGCAACCAGGCATTTGCAGCCTATTTAGTCATAGCAAACTGCATTTCTGAATTCCCCAGCACGGCCCTGTCTGGCTGGGGCCGGCTGCGCTCGGCGTTCCGGCAAAGGAACCTGAGAGGCGGCGGGCAGGAGCTGCCTGCGGATACCCGGATGCTCCCGAGTGCTCTGAGCATGTGTTTCCAGCACCTTCCACCTTTCGTGCACGTCCTCGGGCTCGTTTGCGTTGGGGGGAAGGAAAGAAACCCACACAAACAGAGGGCTAATAAAAGGCAACACCTGCAATGGCTCTTACGGCAGGCAGGGCTTAATCCCGCGCTCTCGCAGGACACCAGGGCCCACTGTGACACTGCTGAGGGGCACGTGGGGTTAGTTCTGGTTGGGATCACGGGGATTACAGGAATACGGAGCCTGTGTGGCTTCGTCACGAGATCCTCATCACCGAATATCGTAGTCCCAGCAAAAAGGTGTATCCTTGCTCCCGCCGTAGGCTCTGGGGACGTGCAGGGGGACGTGCCGAATATCCAGCTCGCCGGGCTTGCTCAGGAGCGGGTCCGTGACGTGCCCTACATGGGACACAGCCTCCCTGGGGACGGGATGCGTAGGGAAGGCGCAGGGTAAACACGTATAACGAGACAGCCATGAAATGGGCATTACACGCCGGCTTCCGAGAGCTCCCGGGGCCTCCTCCGCCGCTTCCAGAGGCGTTTGCAGGGGAATCAAGGTGAAATGCTTCGAAAGGAACATTTCCACTGCAGACAGGGCAAAGCTTCTTCCTCATCCTCTAATACTGTCCGTGCCACAGTAATCTGGGCACTGCTGTGACAAGTGTAGCTGTATAAGCATGGGCAACCACGAGCCCAACTGCTTGCCAAGCTTGCTGTTGGCATCCTAGTAAGTGGCAGACTACAGTGAAACTGCAATAACTCCTTTTCTTTTAATTCCAGGCAGCTCGTTGCTGGTCTACAATACTCCACCCCACACTGAGGCTTCCTCACGTCTCGCCACCAAAGAAGGTCAGTTTTTTGTGCATTAATATCCTGGCTTCCTGTGTGCTCAGTATGTTTTCGATTGGGTTAAAAGTAGACTTTTAATATCATTGGCATGAAAATGTCATGGCCTCTTATGAATGGACAACGGGGTTAAAACGGAGTAATCCACATTCATCCCGATATCCACGTATCTTCTGCCATCCAAACTGTTGCCTAAGATGCAGATTTGTCATTTTGAAGCTGACCTGGTGAACTGATTGCGTGCTTTGTATTTTATGTGAAATAGCAGAAATCTCAGACACTCCATATAGCAAGGCCTGAGACAGTATTTCTAT